ATAACCTTTCATCTCGTGTCCTGTCCAGCGCCCCCTCCCCTTCCCCCAGAGCCTCGCCGCGGCGCGCCGAGTCAGCAAGCGCAGGATGTCAAAAGCTCCTTGTCCAATAATCAACCCCTCTGCGCCCTCACGAGGACGGGGCGGCTTTTTATATCGTCCGAGCCAAGAGCCCGGCGGAGCCCGGCGAGGGAGACAGACAGAGAGGTGCTTCAAAGTTGGCGCTGGGGGCCCAGGCCCAGCAGCACTCCCCTCTCCTCTGTCCCTCGCACTTCACGCCTGGTGTGCCCAAGCTCGCTCACTCGCTCACTCCCCCCCCTCTCTCTCTCTCTCTCTCTCTCTCTCTCTCTCTCTCTCTCTCGCTCTATATCCCTCTCCCTCTCAGTCGTTCACCCACTCTGTCTCTGTCCATCCTCCTCCTTTCTCTCGCCCCCTTCTCTTCCCCTCATACGGCAGAAGTACCCGCCGACGCGGAACGAAGTGGGATGAGCTAGCGACCTTCGACAAAGTTCCTCTGAGCGGCGAGCAGGACTCTTCCCCCCCCCCCCCATCCTCTCTTCTCTTCCAAATCCGCCCGCACCCTCGTACCACTCCCCCCCCCTCCCCGCCTCGTTTCACCCCAAACCGACAAAGTTTTGAAATGTTCAGTTTTGATTGGGCCATTGGGTCATGAGTTATTGTCTGGTCGGCCCTATGGCCCGGCCAGGGCGCACCTAGACTAGGGCGGAGCGGGGCAGGGCAGGGCCGGGCGGGGCAGGGCGGGCCCCGTGCCAAAGCTGCTTGCCTCGCGCTTATCTGAGGCCCGAGCTGGAACTGACTGGAGAGAGGAGCAAGGGGCGGCTGGACTGTGAAGGCAAAAAATGGGAGAGGAAAATAAAAAGGGGGTGGGGTTTGAAGCGTGGTCGAGGCCTCGGCAGGACCAAAACACCCACCCTGCCACGCCACGCCTCGCCCCGGCACACCTCGCCACACCCCGCCAGCACACATGAAAGACTAAAGACGGCCTAGCGTGCTCGGCGTAATTTGGAGGCACAGCTGACCAGCAGCTGCTGGGAAGTTTTTCGTCACGGACATCCTTCTCTGAGTGAGCCGTTCGTCAGCCGCGGCCCGGTGGAGGGCACGGGGCCCGGTAAGCGAAGCGGGCGGGGGCTGGGGGCGGCGCGCGGTGGGAGGTGGGTTGGGTCGTGGGGCCGTGCCGGGGGCGGAGAGCCCATTTGTCATATTTGTCGTTATTATTATTCCTAAAATCGCCGCCCCCTCGATACGCCTCGCTCACGCTCCCGCGGTGGTGGCGGTCCCGTGTTGTTATTAATCTTGTTTTTGTTTTTTGTTTGGGTTTCGGACGACGACAAGAAATGCCCCGAGGTATTATAATACGGAGAAAAAGAAAGGAAAGAATGGATTTTAAACGACGAGTCACTCCCGCAAACTGATGGCAGTAGGGGACCAAAAGAAATCTAATTTTCTTAAATATTTTTGTAAAGCAAAGTGTATTTTTTTATCGTTGCTTTAGATTTTTTAGGCGGTTGAATTTGTCTTCCCGTCGTCCTAAAACTTGCATCTGCTAATCGACAAGAAAAAGTAACACCTCCTCCTTCCCCCCACGGCGTAAAGATGAGTGGCCAAAAACTCACCACCCCAAGAGGGAGCTTTCGCAAAGAGAGTAGGAAGGAGGGAGTAGAAAAAAATATTGTAAAAAACCTTGGCCGAGTTGGCCCGGTGAAAAGTCTTGTGACTTTCACTGGGTTTTCCTCCTGCCCCGTCGATCCCCGCCGCGCCGCCGCCCTTCCCTCCCCAGCGAGGTCTCACCTCCCGCACCCGAGTTTGGCCAATCGATTCGACGGCGCTGAATTAAACAGATGATTGGCACATGAATAAAAATAACGAAAGCGAATCGGCAGCGCGCTCTCGCTTTGTGTATTCAGCTTGTTCCGAATAATCTTACTCAATCCTTCAATAATTAGCGCCCCGCGGCGCAAATTTCGGCTCCCCTCCCTCCTCCTACCCCCCACCCCCACCCCCCTATTCTTCCGGCATGGCGATTGCAAAATTAGATTTCACGCATTTCCCTCGCTGATTGGCCGTGGCAGGCGCGGGCCGCGCGGGCGCCCTCCTCTCAGTACGCGCACGAGACCGGCCAGGCCGGGCGGACGGAATCCACTTAGCGGAATAAGAACCGACATCTGTGTTGTTTGCTTGCTATTCAATCCCCTGACTTTCCAGAGGTCTTTCATTTTTAGAAAAACTTGGTTTAAGTGTTGAATCTTTATTTTTATTTTTTCTTAAGCGCTCAGACGGCCGGGTCTGGGTCTCCTTTAGGGCCACTTATGCGAGACATGGTGAAAGTAAATTGTGTTTATTGGCTGCAAAAAAAAGTATGCAGATACCGTCGTAGGGTCGTGAAAGCGGGGAGAGGGACAGTGTGAGTAAGGGAGGGCAAGCAAAGGGAAGCCTTTTGCCGTCGAGGGTGGGTGACTCAGGATGAGTCACTCCGAGTAGGGGTCCTTTGGGCTTTGGGGCGCCGCGGACGGCACGGGACGGCCAGGCCCGGGACGACTGTGTCTTTGTCCGCGAAAGGTTGCAATATGCCACGCCCCGCCACGCAGATGTATGGCGGGGCGATGGGCCACGCCACGACGGCGGCGACAGGGGAAGGTCAGGGGAGGAGGGGGGAGGAACGGGGCAGGGGAAGAAGAGGCGGGGGTGGAGAGGGGAGGGGAAGTCGGGACGGTCGCGCGGGCATCGCCGCCCTGAGCGAGACACCGCCGTTTATGGCTTACGCGGTTGTGCTGGCGAAATGTCACACAGGGAAAAGGGCAGGGTGGGGCGGGACGTGGACGCAGAAGGGACGAGATCGGCCCCGCTCCTGCCCCGCCTGGCCACTGCGCTTTATACTCGCCTAGCCTCGCTGGCCTCGCCTGGCCTCGCCTGGCCTCGCCCTACAAAACCTCGCGTATCGCTAAACGGCTAAACCCATAAACCCCCGCGCCAGCCAGTCAGACCCGCCGCTGCCGCAACACCAGCACCGGCAGCGAGATGAAGAAAACCCTCCCCCGCCACGGCCCGCCCCGCCCCGTGACGCCCGCGGAAGCGGAAGGCGCTATCGGAAGCTGGCGGTGAAATTCTACACCGACAGAGAGCTGATGTGAGCACGCCCCGCCACGCCCCGCCACGCCCCGCCACGTCCCCCGGGCCGCACCGCTGCCTCGTGCAAACAGGACTCGTGCGCCGTGCGGCTCTCGGCTGGTCCGTTCGGCTGGTCGTGTTGGTGTCGGGGGAGTCAGGGGACCCGCATTATCACACGGCTGGCGTACACGCACCGACCCAAACAAACCCGCCCCGCCCCGCCCCGGGCAGCCCCGCGCCGCTCTCCCCGCCTCACCCCGCTCAGCCACCACGCCCGCTTCTCTTGCTGGGCGCAATCCTCCCCGGCGCACTTTAGTCGCCGCAGAACGCCGTGCGTGTCGTGACCGCGCCCTGCGCCTCGTCCAGCCCCGCCACGCCACGCCACGCCACGCCACGCCACGCCACGCCACGCCACGCCCCGCGGAGCTGACACGATGATTGGGGACGCCGACGACAGCCTGGTGGACGTGGTCCTGCACGCAAGCAGCACCGAGAGACTGTGCCCGGACGGAGCGGCGTCGGACTCGCCGCTGAAAACAGGTAAAGAGTGACAGTGAAATGAAATGAGAAGGAGGGGGAAGATCGGCTCCGGTGGGGAGGGGGAGGCAAGGCAGAGAGGGGGCAGGATTAATTACGCATCAATCATAAACAGAGGGGGCCGAGGGGAAAGCCGCCTCGCCGCCCACACCTGGCGCCCGGGGAGCGCCGTGGAGGTAGGCAATCTGTGCTCCCGCTGCGCGGCCCCGCCGTGCCGTGGTGCCTACCCCGCCCAC